TCGGCAGCTCATCCCCAAACGGATGGCCAAACTGAAACAGTGAACCGGAGTTTGGGAAATCTTCTACGATGTTTTGTGGGGAAAAATATTAAACAATGGGATCTTATATTGGCTCAGGTTGAATTTGCATTCAACCGGTCTATTAATCAAGCCACCAAAAGAAGTCCGTTTGAAGTTGCTTATGGTTATAACCCAGTGACGCCGCTGGATTTGGTTCCCATTGTACAGAAGACTGCTTTTAGCACCGATGCAGAACAACGAGCCTGGAAATTCAGCAACTTGATAAGCAGGTTCAAGACACAATAGCAAAGCACAATGAGAAATGTCGGAAACAAGCAAATAAGACTCGCCGCTCTGTTGAGTTCAAAGAAGGGGATCTCGTATGGATTCGGCTTAGAAAAGAAAGATTTCCTCCTGGAGCTTTTTCTAAACTAAAGCATAAAGCTGATGGGCCTTTTCGTGTAATCAAGAAGATCAACAATAACGCATATCAGATAGATCTTCCCGGTGATTACCAGATTTCTGCAACCTTCAATGTCGCCGACTTGACGCCTCACTATGATATGGACGTTCTTCCCACCCCAGGAGAATGACACAGGAGTGTCTTAGAAATAACCTGATACCGTTATATTCTGTTTGGTTTCTTTTTCTTCCCTATTCTATAGCCGTTACTGTTGCCAATTGTATAGCCTCTTTTGAATTGTATTTTTGTTCTTTCCCGGGTGTGATTTATAAGGCACTCCGGACGATAGCGAGGGTGTTGAATCACTGGAACTTGAGGGAGAGCGTGAGGACGGAACAACGAAGGAGAGATAGACAAGAGGAAATGAATCTTGTTATTACTCATCACGGTTACATTAGTATAAATAGTTGTTTATCATAACAGAATGTACACGTGTAGCTAAGTAATTGGTATGCTGTAATAATATAAATCAGCTAATCTAATTGAAATACTTAAGGCTCTAATAGCCCCCCGCAAACGAAGGGGTCAGAGATGATCGTGAGTTTGTCCCGGAGCATTGTCATTTGGTATCAGAGCCGGCGAAGATGCCGCCTCGACGAAACCCGCAGAGACCGACGAGAGACGTGATCATTGAGGATTTACAACGGGAAATCCAGCAGCTGCAACAACGGCTAGCAAGATTTGAACATCAAGAAACAGAGGATGTTCAAGAGGAAGGAGAAGAAGAGGTTAACCCGTTTCATCAAGATCTTCACAGTGAAGATGAGGGCAGACGACCTGCGCTAGGACGTGCGAGACGTCCACGTGATGACAGTGGAGTTAAGGTGGAGTTACCCGAATTTGATGGTAGATTGGATCCGGATGAATTTGTGAATTGGCTGCACACTGTCGACCGAATTGTTGATTTTAAAGAAATTCCTTCAGAGAGAGTTGTCAAGCTCGTCGCCATCAAATTAAAGAAGAATGCTTCCCTATGGTGGGAAAATTTGAAACGAAATCGAGACCGGGAAGGCAAAAGCAAGATTGTGACATGGATAAAGATGAAGAAAGAACTTAAGCGGAAGTATCTGCCGGAGAGATATCGTCAGGATCTGTTCTTGAAGCTCCACCGTTTACAACAAAACCAGCTTACTGTTGAAGAATACATTGCGGAATTTGAACAGTTGTCCCTCCAATGTGAGCTAGCTGAACCAGAGGAAAATACTATTGCCCGGTTCTTGGAAGGATTACAACCGTCGATTGCCAATGTGGTTCAATTACAACCATATAGGACACTACAAGATGTGTTTGATCTGTCTTTTAAAGTGGAAAAACAGCAGCGACCCAGCCGGTGGATTCGTGGTAAACCCCCTGCTCAAGAGGAAGGATCTGATCGAAGCCAAGTCAAGAAAGCTGAGGGAAGGACTATGGGAGCGAATCCTTTGAACAAAGAGATTACTCGGCCTGCTAATGGAGCATTGAAAATACCCGGAACCACGGGGTTACCTCCAAGAAAATGCTTCAAATGCCAAGGCTTTGGCCACATTGCCTCTGGATGTCCGAACTGAAGGATTGTTACAATCATTGAAGAAGCTGATACGGAGCAAGACATGATGATAGATCACGAGTCCGAGAATAATATGATGACGGAAACCACTGTAATTTCCGCAGATGAAGGGAGTTTACTTGTCCTCAGGAGGCTACTTAGTTCCCATAAGGAAGATTCATGTCAGCGCCATAGCATTTTTCAAACACGGTGCACAGTTGGCGGGAAGGTTTGCCAAATGATCATTGATAGTGGTAGTTGTGAAAACGTGGTGTCCGCCACCATGGTTAGCAAGCTTGAGTTGCCCACGGTAGACCACCCCAAACCTTACACACTATCGTGGATAAAAAAGGAAAATGAAGTTCAGGTGTCGAAGCGTTGTCTTGTAAGTTTCTCCATTGGCAATTATGCGGAGCAAGTGTGGTGTGATGTAGTTCCCATGGATGCTTGCCATCTTCTGTTAGGACGCCCGTGGAAATTTGACAAGAAGACTGTTCATGACGGAAAAGCAAACACATATTCGTTTAAGCATCAAAATCAACGGATTATGTTGGTGCCTCTACAGGAGTCTACAGCCGTAAAAGCCAGTCCGCAGCTGTTAACTCGGTCATTATTTTTAAAGGCTTTCAGGGAGGCTACATTTGGGTTTGCATTGGTGATCTTAGCCACCAATGAAGCTCAGACTAATGAAGATACAGTAGTTCGAGATATCCTGGAAGAATATCCTGATGTTCTGTCTAGTGTTCTACCGTCCAGATTACCTCCGGAAAGACAAATTCAGCATGCTGTGGAGTTTGTTCCTGGGTCGGTCATTCCCAATCGGCCTGCTTATCAATTACGACCCGAAGAACAAGCTGAGCTCAAACGACAGGTAGAAGAATTACTGAACAAAGGATTTATCAGGCATAGTGTTAGTCCCTGCGCTGTGCCCGCCTTACTAGTTCCAAAACGAGATGGATCCTATAGGATGTGCATAGACAGCCGAGCTGTTAATAAAATTACAGTTAAATATAGATTTCCCATCCCTCGCATAGATGATATCTTCGATCAGCTACAGGGTGCTACCATTTTTTCCAAACTGGATCTACGCAGTGGATACCATCAGATCCGTATGAGACCTGGTGACGAGTGGAAAACTGCGTTTAAAACACATGACGGGTTGTACAAGTGGCTAATCATGCCATTTGGCTTAACCAACGCTCCCAGCACATTCATGCGTCTAATGAATCATGTCCTACAACCCTTTCTATATAAGTTTGTAATTGCCTATTTTGATGATGTTCTTGTTTACAGTGCTAATCTCCAGGATCATCGCATTCATCTTCGACGGGTTCTCGATCTCTTCCGGGAACAACAATTGTTCATTAATCTTGAGAAGTGTCAATTTGCTGCTTCTCAGATTACATTCTTGGGCTATCAACTCTCTGCTGAAGGGTTGAAGATTGATCTTGATAAGGTTGAGGCCGTCCGCAGCTGGCCTGTTCCCCAGTCATTCACAGACATTCGCCGTTTTCATGGCCTAGCGTCTTTCTACAGAAGATTCATCAAGGATTTCAGTACAATTGCGGCCCCGATGACGGAAATTCTCCGAGCTAATCAATTTGAATGGAACCCGGCGGCACAGACAAGCTTTGAGGAGCTGAAACAGAGATTGTCTTCTACCCCCACACTAAACTTACCTGACTTCGACCAAGCCTTTGAGGTCGAATGTGACGCCTCAAATGTAGGCATTGGTGCTGTACTAACTCAAGGGGGCCATCCGATAGCTTATTTTAGTGAAAAGTTAAGTGATGCAAGACGCAAGTATTCTACATACGACAAGGAGTTCTACGCTATAGTTAGAGCCCTGCAGCATTGGAGTCACTATTTGCTGTCAAACGAATTCGTGCTTTTCTCTGATCATGAAGCTCTACGTTATCTTTGCCATCAGAAGAAACTCAAAGCGAGGCACGCTAAGTGGTCTGAAAGCTTATCTGCGTTCCATTATGTTTTGAAGCACAAAGCAGGGCATCATAATCAGGTGGCTGACGCGCTTAGTAGACGGTATGTCCTGCTACAAACGCTACAGAACAAAGTCATTGGTTTTGAAGTCATACGGGACCTATATACAGAAGATGCTGATTTTGGGAACATTTGGCAACAATGTCTTCAAGGTCCCTTCAATCTATTTCACATCAAAGATGGATATCTCTTCTTTAAACAGCGTATGTGTGTTCCGAATTGCTCTCTCCGTTTGACGCTTATTTCAGAGAGCCACGAAGGAAATTTGGCCGGCCACTTTGGGCGAGAAAAGACCATAGAGCTGCTGTGTGAAAATTTCTTTTGGCCATCACTCAGGAAGCATGTTGGGCGGTTTGTACAAAATTGCCAAGTCTGTAAGAGAGCAAAGACCACCAGCACTAATGCAGGCTTGTATACACCGCTTCCTGTGCCCAGCTCACCGTGGGTAGAAATCAGTATTGATTTCGTTGTTGGCCTCCCCCGTACACAAAGGAACAAAGACTCTATCATGGTGGTTGTGGATCGTTTTTCCATGAAAAAAAAAAAATATTCTCTAACTTTTACTTTTTAAATGAATAAAAAAGGGAAAACCGGGCATTTTCAAAAATAAAATCCAAACGTTACTGTAGCTACAGAGATTTTTTAAAATAAAATCCGAGCGAGATTTTTTTAAAAATAAAATCCCGATATTTCCAAAGATAAGATCTCTATATTTCCATAAATAACACTTTCTTCTAAAATTTATTTAAACTAAGGGCTTCTTCCTCAACTCATTCGGTCATTCTTCCATACCCTGTGCTCTTCTCTGCTCCACACTGAGCAGTCCTCGCTGAGAATCTCAGTTGCATTTTGCATTCCCCGGAGATAAAAAGAAAAAAAAAATCGCAGATTTTGCGAGGGAGAAAGAGATTGAGAGATGAGCGACAGTTTCGACCTGGATTACCGCCTTGGAGAACGGCTCGGCCGCGGTCAGTTCGGTACGGTATATAAATGCGTCTCCGTCTCTACCGGCAAGGACTTCGCCGTGAAAATAATCGACAAATTCTCCGGTTGCTTCGATCGCCGCTTGGTTTACTCCGAGATCAAATTAACCCTCCTCGCGGCTTCGGAGAACCCACGCTCCATCCAAATCCACCAGGTCTATGAAGATATCACGGCAGTTTATCTTATTCTGGATCTCTGTCCTGGGCCAGATCTCTTCGACCGCATTGCCAGCCAAGGTCCCTTCTTCGAGAGCGAGGCTGCTGCCCTCATCACCGAATTGGTAAAAGCAGTAGCAGAATGCCACCGCCGCGGCATCGCTCACCGGGACATCAAACTGGAAAACATACTGTTCGATTCCAATGACCGTTTGCTTCTGGCTGATTTTGGCTGCGCAGCACTGTTCGAGAAGGGAGCGCGAAGTTTAAAGGGAAAAGTGGGAACTCCTGCTTATGCTGCTCCGGAAGTAATGGCCGGCGAAACCTACGATGAGAAGATGGATGTGTGGAGCGCGGGGGTCGTCCTTTACTTCATGTTGGGTTGGACATTGCCATTTAATGGTGAAAATGTGGAAGAGATAGTGGCTGCTGTGAAGAAAGGAGATCCAGTTCGTTTCCCGAAGGAATTCTTCCCCTGGTTATCCCGCGGAGCAGAGGATCTGATAGAACAGATGCTTGCTAGAGATCCAGCGGTGAGGCTCTCAGCAGAGCAAGTACTGAGTGAGTTCCCTTCCTTTAAAAAAACACTTTTTTATGTTTTTATTTGGCATCAGCAATGTTACTAATTAATTATTACTTTTGTTTGAACTTTTTCAGGACATCCATGGATCACAGAAATGTCAATGACATGGGTATAACAAGGGAATTTCACTTGTACAGCAGTTAAGAACATATTTTTTTGTCCTTCTATAGCAGCTTAGTAGAAATTTTTTAGATATTAGCAATAAGCCAACAAATTGATGAGATTTTAACCAAGCAGATCATGTTTAGAATTGTCCACTCTGTCAATGTTTTAGAAAGATTAAAAAATTTACAGTTTTTTTGGTTGAAGCATTAGTTCAACTGAAAAAGCAAAACTTAAATAATTGCATTACATAATATGCATCCATTCTGTCTTAGTTGAGCTGATATTTTTCTGTGTTAAAGATGAGTTTAAAGAGCAATAAACTGTACTGATTATTGCTATTCAATGAAGTTAGCAATCTTTCACTCAGACAATGTGTTCGGGAAATGAATTAAGCACTTGCATATACTTTCTGTTTTTCTCACAGTTTACTTCTGTTCAATTAATTTTTGTGATGATGATGGTATAAATATTTTCCTGCTGTGTTGGAAACTAAAGAGCTTGGGATAAGATATTATAATAACGACCTTTCTTCGTATTCATGAAAAATAAAGCAATGCCAAAGACGATTATAATAGATTCTCAACAGCTTTTCTCTTTTCTTCCTTGTGTGCTTAATATAGTAGAAGATTCGTTAAGTTTTATATGAGTAGCTTTGTCTAAACTTTTGCTCAAGTAATGCTCACTCCTTTAGTTCTACAAACAAATTCAATAAAAATACTGATCGAAGTCCAAAGTGTAGGACTCACCATAAAGAAAATCATATGGAAAGTGGGCTAAACTTGTTTCAACGTGTATAATATGTTGACTGTGTTGTATTTTAGTTGTTCTACATGTTGATTCCTAAGGCTTTATTCAGGACCGTTTTCATACAGCTTTTTAAAGTAATTTTCTAGTATAAAAATTATCCTTAAAAATTTTCCCAAACGAAGCCTAAGTTATGGTACTATTTATCTATGGAGCTAATGGATTTAAGAATTCAATGGTTATGTTTGACCTTCTCCTGATGCCATTATTTGTTGAATATCCTAATGGTTTAACAGAATGATCATCATAAACTTTATAGGATGATATGTTAGCTTCAGTTTTCAGCATTCATTAATGCTCTTTTAAATGGATGTTGGCTTCAATTTTCACTGCTCATTGCTCTGCCTATAAACTGATATTCTTGTGCTTGGCTTATTTTGATTGCTTGATCAGTAGCTGAATTTAGATCTACTGCTACAATATGCCTACCTTATTTTTTTTAAATTTTCTTTGGTTCATAGAACCTTGTTGTTTCTTCATAGGTGTTATGTTTTCTTCAACTGACTTTTGATCCCAAAGAGCTATACTTATTGTGTATGGTAGGAGCCACCGAGGGTTCATTTGGTACAATTTTCTTACTTCTTTTTAAAGATTTTTTTTTTTTGTATAAAATGTTTTTGAATTAAAAATTTTTGCATTAGATGATTATTTTAGAAAATAGTAAGAAAGTTGTCCGAAATAAAACCTGAATCTTCAAAGGTTTTGTTTTTCTCTTGGTCGTATATTGTAAAAAGACACTTTATTATCATGTGGTCAATCTATATGATTTTTTTTTTTATGGGCATTTGAATAATGAACAAGGCTGTTAATTAATAGACTAATAATTTAATGCATAGTCAAAATTCTTTAATTTAATGGTTGTCTTTATATCCTGTTTTTGTGTTTTTTTTTTCTTTTAAAAAATTTTCTTTCTTAACCCTTAGGTGAGAGTTGGCTGAACTATATAAACATTTACTTACATTTTACATTACAAACTGTGTACAAATTAGTTGGTTGATCATTAACCAATGGCTCATATGAAAACTTTTTGCATAAGACAAATAAGTTTAAGAAAAAAAAAATCTAAGTTTTTCCTCAATTTTTGAAACATTAAGTGTTTGTTTGGAACAACTTTTCGCTGCTTTATGTTTTAAACAACAACCACATTTTTATTTTCACTGTTTTTATGCTACTTTTTCATTACTTCTCAAAAATTTTTGTGACCAGGATTGATAATTTGTTTTCCTCATAATAGCTTCATAACAAACTTCAACAAATGTTATAACTATCCTAAACAGACTCTAATTTTTTATCCAATTTATGATGATAATCATTAAATTGGGGTGACATCTTACATTATTGTTTGCCATGTGATATTACAATCATGTGATAATTAGACACTGTTGTATTTATACATGTTATATTCAATGTTTTGGTTGATTTTCTAAATATGTGCAATGTCAATGCATAATATTTGAGAGGGATTCTTGAGCTAAGCGAAAAGGTGAGATGGGAGAAATAGGGACAGAGACGGAAAATGGAAGAAGAAAATGTAATTTTATTATTCATAGAGAAATTGATACTGATGGTATTAAATAGAAGAATACAGGTAAAGTAGTAAATACTTATGAGTACATATTAAGGTAATGATAATCACACGCTAACAGCCTCCCTCAAATTAATCAGTCGAGGATTGAATGGTTAATTTGGAGCGAAGAATGTTAAAGCGAGTGATTGAAAACGGTTTGGTTAGGATGTCTGCTATTTGATTTTGGGAAGAATGTGATGGATGGTGATGTCGCCGGAGGATAGATGCTGCCGTATAAAATGGTAGTCGATTTAGATGTGTTTTGTTCAAGCATGAAAGACTGGGTTCTTTGCTAGAGCAATGGCCGAGACATTGTCACAATGAATTATGGTTGGAGAGTCCTGTGTTAAGAAAAGCTCTGCGGCGAGTCGACGAAGAATTTAAGGGGGTGAGGGAGGAGATTCTTGATGTTAGACACCAAGAATTTGAGAGGTGCCGGGATGGATACTTCGGCATGATTGTTGGCTAGATTGGAGGAAGAAAGAGGGAGGGAGGAAGTTGAGCTCTGGTCTCCCATAGGTGGGTCTGGATACCATGAGAGGGATTCTTGAGCTGAGCTGAAAGGTGAGACGGGAGAAACTGGGACATAGACAGAAAAGGGAAGAAGAAAATGTAATTCTATTATTCATAGAGAAATTGATACAGATGGTATTAAATAGAAGAATACAGGTAAAGTAGTAAATACTTATGAGTACAGATTAAGGTAATGATAATCACACGCTAACAATATTAACGTCGGACGACAAGTCTATGTTACAATAACTTTACAAACTTCATCATCAATTATAGATGCCATGATAATTTCACCATTTATAGTGTATCGACAAATTATATTAACCTTTAAATGTAATTGTTCAATCACCGAAGAATTCTCCTTTTAAGATATTCAAATATAGCGTGTTCAGGAATACATATTGAACATTATCTATATGCCAACAACATAAATTAGTATAAAGTTCTTAGTTATTGTTGCCTGGTTATCCCGCGGAGCAAAGGATCTGATAGAACAGATGCTTGCTAGAGATCCATCGGTGAGGCTCTCAGCAGAGCAAGTACTGAGTGAGTTCCCTTCCTTTAAAAAAACACTTTTTTTATGTTTTTATTTGGCATTAGCAATGTTACTAATTAATTATTACTTTTGTTTGGACTTTTTCAGGACATCCATGGATCACGGAAATGTCAATGACATGGGTATAACAGGGGAATTTCACTTGTACAGAGTTCAGAACATATTTTTTTGTCCTTCTATAACAGCTTAGAAGAAATTTTTTAGATATGAGCAATAAGCCAACAAATTGATAAGATTTTAACCAAGCAAATCATGTTTAGAATTGTCCACTCTGTCAATGTTTTAGAAAGATTAAAAAATTTACAGTTTTTTTTGTTGAAGCATTAGTTCAACTGAAAAGCAAAACTTAAATAATTGCATTAAATAATATGCATCCATTCTGTCTTAGTTGAGCTGATATTTTTTGGTGTTAAAGATGATTTTAAAGAGCAATATACTGTACTTATTGCTATTCAATGAAGTTAGCAATCTTGTATATACTTTCTATACATCTGTCAGTTTTGTTGAGTTTAATTTATTTTTGTGATGATGATGGTATAAATATTTTCCTGCTTTGTTGGAAACTAAAGAGCAGAAGTGCCCTTGATCAGTTAAGATTTCCCGAATGAAATTCTTGTTTTTCCTAGCTTTGATCTTAGCATAGAGAAACCTAAGTCATTTTCAACCTTAGTTAACTAGTAAGCTTTGCCTCTTTGAGAGATCCAAGAGGACCAACCATGTTGTAAAGTAGCAAGATTATCATTCACCACCTTGAGATTAACATTTAATTCCCTGTCCAGAGGTTGAGATTGCAGCTCAAGAAGAAACTTACTTTGTAAGTCCTTTAGGTCCAAGATGGACTTAGCAATGTAATTAGAGGAAGCGCACTTCATGCCTTTTAGAGACCTCTTGAGAATCTTGAGGGATAAATAAAAAGCAGAGATAGGACTACCAGCAGCCGGCCTCGCAAAAGCAGAGATAATAGCCTCCCAAAAACCCGCCATGTTAACCCAATAGTTTTTGAATTCAAAGAGCTCCTTTCTTTGAATTCATGAAAAGTAAAGCAATGCCAGAGACTTGAAACCTGAGAACATCCTTCGATCAAGATTCTTATGGCCAACAGGTTCTCTCTTCTCTTCCTTGTCTAAATTTTTGCTCAAGTAATGCTCACTACTTTTGGCCTACAAACGAATTCAATAAAAATACTATTCAAACTCCAAAGTGTTGGACTGTGGAATACACACCATAAAGAAAATCTTATGGAAAGTGGGCTAAATTGTTTTCAACGAGTATAATATATTGGCCGTATTGTATTTTTGGTGTTATGCATGTTGATTCTTAAGGCTTCATTTGAGACATTCTTCTTTCAGCTTTTCAAAACAAAATTTTAGTGAAAAAATTGTAGTCAAAAGTTGCGCAAATGAAGCCTAAGTTATGATACTATTTATCTAAGAAGCTAATGGATTTAAGAATTTAAAGGTTTTGTTCAAATTATCTTGATGCCATTATTTGTTGAATATCCCAATGGTTGAACAGAATGATCATCATAAACTTTGTAGGAAGATATGTTGCTTCAGTTTTTAGAATTCATTAATGCTCTTTTAAATGGATGTTGACTTCAATTTTCACTACTCATAGCTCTGCCCATCAACTGATATTCTTGTGCTTGACTTATTTTGATTGCTTGACCAGTAGCTGAATTTAGATCTACTGCTACAATGCGAGGACCTTAATTTTTGGAATTTTCATTGGTTCATAGAACTTTGTTGTTGCTTCATAGGTGTTATGTTTTGTTCAACTGATTTTTGATCCCTAAGAGCTATGCTTATTAATGTAGATGGTAGGAGACACCAACGCTTGGTTTAGTATAATTTTCTTACTGTTTTTTAAAGAAGTATTTTAGTATAATTTATATTTTTTGAATTAGAATTTTTTTGTACTAAAAAATTATTTTAGAAAGTAGCAAGAAAGCTGTCCCAAATAAAACCTGAATCTTCATAGGTTTTGCATTTCTCTTGGTCGCATATTCCCAAACAAACTCTAATTCTTTATCCAATTTATGATGATAATCATTAAATTTGGGTGTCATCTATCATTATTGTTCATAAGCCTTGTGATATTACAGTCGCGTGATCAGTAGACAATGCTAGGTTTATATGTGTTATATTCTATGTTTTTGTTGACGTTCTAAATACGTGCAATTTCAATGCATTGTATCAATGTCAGATGACAAGTCTACATTTACATAACTTCACAAGCTTCATCATCAGTCATAGATGACACGAAAATTTCACGATTTACAGTGTACCAACAAATCATATTAACCTTTAAATATAATTGTTCAATCATCGAATAATTCTCCGTTTAAGATTTTCAAATATAGCGTGGACATTTTCTACATGCCAACAACATAGATGGGTATAAAGTTCTTAGTTATTGTTTAAAATTTAATTGTGGAATTAATATTATATAATTGAAATAGAAAAAAATAGATAACTTGAGGCAACAATAAGTAAGGACTTTATACTCATCTATGTTGTTGGCATATAGAGAATGTCCAACACGCTATTTTTGAAGATCTCAAAAGGTGAATTCTTCCATGATTGAACTATTACATTTTAAGGTTAATAAGATTTGTCGGTACATTGCAAATGATGAAATTTTCGTGGCATTTATGATTGATGATGAAGTTTGTGAAGTTATATAAATGTAGACTGGTCGTCCCGACGTTGATATTATGCATGCATTGAAATCGTCTAATGATCACATGATTGTAATATCACAGTCACATGATTGTAATATCAAAAGGATTATCAATAATAATAATAAATGACACCCAAATTTAATGATTATCACCATACATTGGATAAAAAATTAGAGTATCTTTGGGACAATCATAGATGCCACGAAAACAACTTATGAAGCTACCAGTGGGGAGAACAACTTATCTATCAAAAGTTTGTTTTAAAAAAATATTTTCATCATAAAAATTTTTTAAAAGCAATGAAAAATTAACAAGAAATAGTAACCAAATAAAATTGTGATTATTGTCAGAAAACCAAAATAGTAAAAAAGCTATCCAAAATCCGATTTCTTTTCTTAAACTTGTTTGGCTTATGCAGCATTTTTTTTCATTTTGAGCCATAGTTTGTAATGTAAAATGTAAGTAAATGTTTATATAGTTTAGCCATCTCTCACATAATGGTTAAGAAATAAAATTTTTTTAAAAGGAAAAAAAAAAACAAAAAGAGGACAGAGACGACCAATAAATTAAAGAATTATCACTACAGATTAAATTATTAGTCTATTAATTAGGAGCCTTGTACATTATCCAAATGCCCATAAAAAGTAATCATATACATTGGCCACATGATAATTTACTCTAAATGCCCATAAAAAGTAAGTCAAGCAGAAGAATATTAGTTGATGGGGAGAGCAATGTGTAGTGAAAATTGAAGTCAAATCCATTTAAAAGAGCATTACTGAATTATGAAAACTGAAGCAACATATCGTCCTATAAAGTTTATGATGATCATTCTGATAAATCATTAGGATATTCAACAAATAATGACATCAAAATAAGGTTGAACATAACCATTGTATTCTTAATTCGATTTGCTCCGTAGATAAATAGTATCATAACTTAGGCTTAGTTTGGGACTGTTTTTTTACTGCTTCTTAAAGCAGTTTTTTAATACAAATTTTTTTTTTTAATTTTTGTACTAAAAAGGCGCTTGAAGAAGCAGTAAAAAAATCGTCCTAAACGAAGCCTTAAGTTTTTTTTGGGACAACTTCTGACAATTATTTTTGTATTAAAAAGTTGCTTGAGAAAGCTATAAAAAAACCGTCCCCAAATGAAACCTTAGAAATCAACATGCTAAACAAGTAAAATACAACAAAGCCAATAAATTATACTCGTTTAGCCCACTTTCCATGTATTTTTCTTTATGATGTGTATTACAGAGTCCCACGCTTTGGAGTTTGAATAGTCTTTTTATTGAATTCGTTTGTAGGCCAAAAGCAAGAGCATTACTTGAGCAAAAATTTGGACAAAGCTATTCATATAAAACTTATGAATCTTCTACTATATTAAGCACATAAGGAAGAGAAGAGAAAACCTGTTGGCCATAAGCATCTTGAAGGGTGTGCATTGCTATAGTTTTCATGAATACGAAGAAATGAGATCGTTATTATAATATCTTATTCCTATCTCTTTAGTTTCCAACACAGCAGGAATAGATTTTTGTCATCATCATCACAAAAATAAATTAAACTTAACAAAACTGTCAGAAAAATAGAAAGATTGCTAACTTCATTGAATACCAACAATCAGTACAGTATATTGCTCTTTAAAATCATCTTTAACACCCAAAATTATCAGCTCATATCTAAGACACAATGGAAACATATTATTTAATGCAATTATTTATGTTTTGCTTTCGCAGTTCAACAAAAAAATAGTAATTTTTTTAATCTTTCTAAAACATTGACAGATGGACAAATCTGCACATTATCTGCTTGGTTGAAAATCTCATCAATTTGTTGGCTTATTGCTCATATCTAAAAAATTCTTCTAAGCTGCGATAGAAGGAAAAAATATATGTTCTAAACTACTGTACAATTGAAATTCCCATGTTATACCCATGTCTTTGACATTTCCGTGATCCATGGATGCCCTGAAAAAGTCCAAACAAAAATAATAATTAATTATTAACATTGTTTATGCAAAATAAAAACATTAAAAAAAAAGTTTTTTTTTTGTAAGGAAGTTAACTCACTCAGCACTTGCTCTGCTGAGAGCCTCTTCGCTGGATCTCTAGCAAGCATTTGTTCTATCAGATCCTCGGCTTCACGTGATAAGTCGGGAAAGAATTCCTTGGGGAAGCAAATTGGATCTCCTTTCTTCACAGCAGCCTCTATCTCTACCACAGTTTCACCATTAAACGGTAATGTCCAACCCAACAACAAGTATAGGACGACTCCAGCACTCCACACATCCACCTTCTCGTCGTAATTTTGGTCCGCTAGTACTTCCGGAGCCGCATAAGCAGCAGTTCCCACTTTTCCCTTTAAACTTCTTTCTCCCTTCTCGAACAGTGCTGCGCAACCAAAATCAGCCAGAAGCAGACGGCCGTTGGAGCCGAACAATATGTTTTCTGGCTTTATGTCGCGGTGTGCGATGCCGCGGCGGTGGCATTCTGCAATAGCTTCAACCAATTCGGTGATAATGACAGCAGCCTCGTTCTCGTAGAAGGAACCGTGGCTAGCAATGCGGTCAAAAAGATCTGGTCCAGGGCAGAGATCGAGGATGAGATAAACGGCGGTGATATCTTCATAGACTTGGTGGATTTGGACCGAACGTTGGTTCTTGGAAGCCGCGAGAAGCGTTATCTTGATCTCGGAGTAGACGAAGCGGCGGTCGAAGCAACCGGAGAACTTATCGATTATTTTCACTGCGAAATTCTCGCTGGTGGAGACAGAGACGCATTTATATACCGTGCCAAACTGACCGCTGCCGAGCCGTTCTCCAAGGCGGTAATCCAGGTCGAAACTTTCGCCCATCTCTCAATCTAAACAAATCTGCGATTTTTTTTTCTTGGGAGCGCTATGTGCGACTGAGCTTCTCGCGCTTCTCGCTTTCTCAGCGAGCACTGCGTAGTGTTTAGCAGAGGGGATGAAGGAATAAGTGAGAAGAGTGAAAGCCCTTAGTTTAAATAAATTTTAGAAGAAAGTGTTATTTATGGAAATATCGGGATTCTATCTTGGGAAATATGGGGATTTTATTTTAAAAAAAAAATCTCGCTCGGATTTTATTTTAAAAAATCTCTGTAGCTACAGTAACGTTTGGATTTTATTTTTGAAAATGCCCGGTTTTCCCTTTTTTATTCATTCAAAAAGTAAAAGTTAGAGAATATTTTTTTTCATATAACTCACTAACCGCTATATTTATTTTCTAATTTTATTGATTAAAAAAATAAAATAAACAAAGTTACTAAAATGCTAAAAATAAAAAATTTGGGACAAAATGAGTTTATAAAATCATTTTTTTTAGAAAAACATCAAATTTAAAATTGTTTATTTTAACTAAGATATAATTTAAAAAACGAATGATAACAAAACAAAATAACAAATATTTTAAAAAGTTAGTACAGTATATTAAATTAACTGACTTAATGTTTTTGTCATTATGTTAAGTAAAATAAGATCAGTCATTATGAATTAAGTATGATAACTATTTAATGATTACTTATTAAAATGATAAAAATTCTATTTAATGAAATTTTATTTTTTTACGGTTTTAATATTAACTTACAATCCTTTTAATTTATTTTTATAACTGAAAAAAACATAAACAATTTTATTCATAATGAATATATAGGAAATGAAAATACTAAGAGACCAATGATCTAATGCCACGTGGCTAATATATACAATTCTATTTATTTTTTTTATGTGATCTAATAAAGATTAATGTAATTGTGAGCGAATAAGTGACCGATTACTAAAACGATATCATTAGTTATAACTTTTTAAGAACGAGTTGCAATCGGGTCCGAATTTTTGACCAGTTTCAAATTTCAGATCGGATTCGGGTCAACCCGGAAACTCGATTTGAACAACGGTTTTGTCCTGCTGTTTGCACCGCACCCGCTCCGCACTCGTTTGTGTCTGCTCGTGTCCGCCCACAGTTCGCAGTTCACATTGTCGGCAGTAAGCCTTCCCTGCTTGCCTCTAAACTTAGCACCCGGGCCCGCGCCCGCTCTTACCGTGAACAGGCTGTGCTCGCCCACTCCACATGCTCACCCGCTGTGTTCTGGGTTCACGGGTCGGGTCAGGTCAACCTAGTAACCCGCATGAGTCATATGTAGGTTTTACCATATTATTTTCTTTGTATCTTAATGCTATCTCGTGACTATCTTTATTACAGCTGATAAATCTTTCCCTTTCTCAAATTTCGTATGAATGCAATTGTTGATACTTGCAATTCTCTCTTTAACAAGCCAAATATTTCGTCTTATAGCACCAATACTCTTTTAAATGTTCCGTTTAACAATTTATGGTCTATTTGAAATAACTTTCTCACTGCTTTTCTTTTGAAAAACCAACCACAATTTTGATTAAATACTGCTTTCTTATTGTTTTTTTTTTATTATTTTTTGAGAAATTTTTGTGATGAAAAGCTACTTCATACAATCACAATTGCTATAGTATTTTCTTCATGACTTCATAATTGACTTTATTAATCATGGTGAACTTTATTGAATCTATTAATGTTGATTTTAAATGCAATAAAATTTTACAATTTTGATCTTTTTTCACCAAAAGAGTGTGAATATATAATCGACATAATGTTTTTAATTTTTATTTTATATAATCGTCATAATTTAAATATTCAACATTTGCAAAGAAATATTATAATTTTTTAAAGCTTATTTAATTTTTTGAATCATCATTACTTCTAAGAATGGATATAAACCTAAACACTCATATAAAAACTAAATGACAACTTTCTTACAACTTCTTAAAGCAGCTTTGTAGTAGAAATTTTTTAACTTTTTGTACTATAAAATTGCTTTAAGAAACAGTAAGACAGATGTCTCAAACGAAGCCTTATGCCCTTTAAATTAAAATATTTTCTTACAATTAAAGTATTTTTATCGAGCAAAGGAATCATCCTATCACACAAAAAACATGTCTTACTAATAAATAGATGAAGAACTAGATACTTATTAGAAATTTATACGCTTAGATTATACATGACCAAATCATGCGTATGCTTGGATTATAGTTAATCATTTCATGTATAATCTTGGTGAGAAAATATAAATTTAGTCATGCACATTTTTACACATCTCACATTTGACCTAGGGATCGGAATTTTACTCTCAAAAAATATAAATGACCAAAATATCAAGGTAATCTATGTCAACATACTTCACCTTACTTAGTTACATAGAAAAGCAAGAAACATAACTTGGTTGAAAAATCTAGTGCGAAAGCTAAGTATGAAGGAATAGCCTTAGGAATGTATGAAGTATTTTGATTGAAATTTCTCTTGCAGTATCTCTTGTAATTTGGAAGTCCGACCTTATGTTTTGATGATTACAAATATTATTAGATTTTTATTTACTTATTCATGCATCACATTTTGGATATTTATTTTGTGTATTATTAACCATTTCATGTACAACATACATCGAGCAAATATTGAATAATCGACTCAAGACATTATAGCATCAGTGTAAAAGTTAGTCAGGATTTTGCAATTTTCTTGAATCTTTCCTGTATTAGTTGTATGATGGCGAAACAACCATGCATAAACACATAAAGGGGAGTGAAAATTAATTTATGATTAGTTCAAACATAAAATTAATTCAAATGTTTAATTAAAATTAAAAAAATTAATTTCTTCCTAATTGTATTATATGACATCACATCGTACGGGATGATCAATTATTTTGAGAAACTCCATCGACAAATCATGGTTACTTAAATTAGGCAAATTTGAACTAATCATATTTTACTAACATGTTCATATTGTATGATGATTAATTAAGTTACCTGATTTAATCATGAGAATTAATAAATCAAATCATATCTAGTATTCATTAATGATAATATTGTATGATTATTGATCCCACGAGAGGATCGACAGAAAACTATTCTGGATGAATTTGGATCATGTTGGATGATATGCTTTTCGATTCAACTAATCATATTTTATGATATATGAATATAATCTACGACTAAAAGACTTAAAATTAAAAAATAGAGTTTTGATAACCCTCTTTATAAACACTTGTTATTTCAATTATAGCCATATATTTTATATTCAATGTCATCTTCTTTTTAAGGAAGAGCTTGGAGAGAGTCCACAATCATAAGAAGAAAAGGAGGTAAGGTTAAGAGAGAGAGAGAGAGAGAGAGAGAGAGAGAGAGAGAGAGAGTGAGTGAGTGTGTGTGTGTGCGTGCGTGCATGCACCTTGAGAGAGTCAAGGGTTTTTCCGCCTAATTTTGTGCTTAGGGAGAGACATTTAGTGTAATTCTCAAAGAGGATGACATTTGGGGAGTGGACATAGGTCAATTTGACCATCGTAATATCTGGTGATTTAGTGTTTATTACTAGCAGTCCAACCGCCGGTCAATAACGGCGGTGAAACCGCTGGTATTTTCGGTGTTCATCGGACCGCCTGTATTTCCGGCAGTCATCTATTCCGGCGGTCATCTAACCGTCAGTATTCAATGAATTTCCTGTAGTGATGTTTTCTTACTTTTTTTACAATTTACTTGTAATTTACTTTACTGCACCCTTTTTTAATTTTGATTACAAGTGTGAAAGTATATTTGGATGATTCTTTTTTGTTGATCTTTGTTTTGAAAATAAGTAAAAAAGTAATAATAATATCTATTTTCTACAAGTATAAAAGCAAAAAATAAGGATAGTTGCTTGTGAGTTTTAGTTTGAAGTTTTAATTTAAACTTCTAATCGAGGCCGCATACTATAAGATTTATTTTTTTAAGTAAAATATTTTGAAAACTATTGGTGTGCTTTTGCACTTTGAGGATCTAGGTCATTCCCAAAAGCAACCATTTTGACTATACTGTGAGAACAAAGAAGCATATGACAAAACCTATAATCCAATTTAGTATGATCAAACAAACCACATTAAGATAGAAAGATTCTTCATTAAAGAGAAATTAGATGAGAAGATCATGGAGCTACTAAAGCTTTGGTTAGAAAATCAAATAGCTGATATTCTCACCAAAAGAATACCAATCACATACTCTCAATTTTTTTAGATAAGTTAGATATGTGTGACATTTAAGCTTCGTTTGGGACGGCTTTTTTACTGTTTTATAAAACGGAGTTTTAGTACAAAATTTTTTGTTTTAGAAAGCAGTAAAAAAGCCGTCCCAAACGAAGCCTTATACACCAACTTGAGATTATCAACTATAATGCTTATCCACTTCAACAATCTGAGATCTTTAATTATATTAACTATATGATGATTTTCCATCTCAATAAATTTGCCCAGATAACTTCTTTTTTATCTTCAATAATGCTTTTTTAATTCATTTTTTTTTTATTTCAATACTCATAATTGAGTGGGAAAAATCTATATTTATATACCCTTCTTTTATAATTTGAAGCAAGAAATGTGATTCAAAAATTCTCTTATTATCTCTTATTTTCAAAAAAATAATTAACTTCAATTCACCCTTTCCCTTATAGTGTCAAGCACATATGTTAATGTTCCTTTCTTGTGAGAACCTTACTTAGAACAACTTTTGGAGGTTTTATGACTCCAATAAATAAGAAGATTCACTTATTTAATGGTTCTTTGGTCCAAAAAGCATTTGGAGAATATTTACCAAAACATAAATATAAGTGAGAAATTGTTCAAGTGCATTATAGGGGATAAAAAGTCAAATTTCTATATTTTTTTTGCCTCAAATTTTTGAAAAATATTTAACTTCCACTAGATACTTAGGTATTTTCAATTCATTTATCTATTAAGCTCTTAATTGAGTTAGCCATTTTTTTAGTCTTGATCATCTAC